GTCCCTCCCTCCCCATACCCTGCCCTCAGGCTCCCCCCCACCCCGAAATCTCCAGGTATTTCCCAACCTGGAGCTGGCCTTGGCTGGAAGGGTGGGGTAGAAATCTAATCAATCAAATCAAATCAGCCCTACTTTCTGTGGAGAATACTGTCTGTGAAGGAACCCATTTGAGGAGCTAGCGAAGCCTCCCTTTGAAGAAGGTGGGGCCGATGCTCTCCCTGGGCTACGCTAACAAGTGACCGAAACCTTGGGCAGGGGACTGCCTAATCGATGGGGCATCTGCATGCCTACCCATCGCCCCGGGAGCTTGCAAAGCCACGTGCCAGCGGGATTTCATCAGCAAAGGCAGCCTTCCTGAGTGCCCAATCTAATTACTATCAAGCAGCCTGGTGAGCTCCGTCCCCTTTGAGTGGACCTTGCCTGAATGTCTGCCAGCCTACCAGCCTGCCTCGGGCCTGGTTGAAGCCTCAGCCCTGCCAATCTACAGATTAGCCTCTAGACTCACCATGAACTTCTAGACCGTACAATTATTCCTTTGATATTCTTTTGTGCTGGCTCCTATGACGGTCACTGATCTGCCAGACAAAACTGTGCAGTCTCATCCTCTCCACTTGCGCAGAGGCTGGTAACTCTGCTTTTCCTTCCCTGGGACTTTGGGACACTTCCTTGCCACACAGCAGCATATCTATCTATCTATCTATCTATCTATCTATCTATCTATCTATCTATCTATCTATCTACCTTCTCTCTCTCTCTCTCTCTCTCTCTCTCTCTCCATACTTTCTTATTTTCTCCTTGGGACCTTTTGGAAACTTTTCTTAAAACCCCTATTCTCAGCCTGTGGATTGTCAAAACAGACAACATAAACATACTCTACACTCAGGGGTCATTTCATGCAACAAGCCCCACCCTCTGCTCCCAGCAGCCCTCAGTCAGAGCAAGAAGCAGCCAGGTAAGCTGCAGAGCCCCCCCCCCCGGCCCCCCGGCCCAAAACAGTCCTGTGCCACCTTTAAGACCAAGTTTTATTCAGGTACAAGCTCTCCCTCCTCTGTGAGGACAGATCTGCACGTTCCCCCCCCCAATAGCTACCAATCCCAAACAGTCCAGTGGAGCCTGAGCGGTGGGTATTGCCTTCTGACACACTTCCGGTGATGCCAGGGGGTGTGGCATATGCAAATAAGCTATGCTAATCAGTTATGCTAATGAGCTCCTGCACCTCTGTCTACACTCCTCTACCCTCCTGGCCATTCTCTGGCACAGAATTCCCACTCAGCCAGAGGCTTGGCTCTGTGTTACTTTCTCTTTCTCGCCTCTCGTGTAATTCTGCATATGTATGTCCCTCTGAACACAATTTCACAGTTCTTACGCCTGAGTACCTTTTCACTTCCTGTACCTCTAAGTTTCCCTAAATAAACTCTAAACCTTGTTTCGGAAGGTTGTTTCATGGTTCCTGGTGGCCTCTTGGAGGGACTTTCAGCTGCATGCAACCCAGGTAAAGATGCCCAAACCACACATTCTGCTCCCCCCCCCGCCCCAGCACCTGTGCCAGTTCTCCAAGCTAGCCAGTGGAAGTGAGGAAAGTTTCCCCGTTGATACTGATCTTAATTCTCCCACCTTGGTTTGGGTTTGACCTGAACCCAAGTTAGAGCAGAGGTGTCAAACTCATTTTTTACGAGGGCCAGATCTGACATAAATGTCACTTTGTCGGGCCGGGCCATGTGTGCCATAAAACATAATGCCAGGTACTGGGGATATAAACTTACTATCAGTCCCCCAATTTAAAACCTCATCTTCTTCTGAGGGCAGACTTTCCCAGGGGCATGAACTTCAGGTGAGCAGCGGGGCTCCTGCCCCGCCAGGATTTCCCGGTGGCGGCAGTGCCCCCCCAGGCTGCCAGGCAGCATCACAAAGCTTCTCTGGCTGTCAAGTTCAGTCAGTCCTGTTTGCTTTGTAGCAACTTAGCATGTTCATAGAAGGCACAGGGCACGTTTTGTTTCTCTGTAAAAATAAGAGGGTACCTTCAGTTGGGGTTGCTAATCTTCAAGTGGTGGCTGGAGATCTGGGTTTACAACTGAACTCCCGGGGAAGATCAGGGCCCTGCGGGATGGTTTTGTTTGTCTGTAAAAATAAGAGGGGACCTTCAGTTAGGGTTGCTAATCTTCAAGTGGTGGTTCAATTAGGAGCCGCCACCCCACTACCACCAACGTCTGTGTGGCTGTGGATTGGCCCCAGCCTGGAGACTGCGCCGCACTACCACGCAATGCCGAAGACCATGGAATCGGAAACATTGGTTATATGCTATACTATACGTCATCTGAACTACTGATAGACGGTAATCAGCACAAGCATTTTGTTTATTGGATTGTTTTAAATGTCCTGGAATGTTTTAATCTTTTGTATGGTTTTATGGCACTGGGTATGGAGCTGCGGTGGCCCAAGTGGTTAAGACGCTGAACTGCAGTCTGTGGAAGGCCGGTAGTTCCGCAGTTCGAGACCCGAGTGTGCCGCATGACGGAGTGAGCTCCCGTCTCTAGTTCCGGCTCCTGCCAACCTAGCAGTTCAAAAGCAAGAAATTGCAAGTAGATAAATAGGGACCCCTTCGGTGGGAAGGTAACAGCATTCCGTGCGCCTCGGTGTTTAGTCATGCCGGCCACATGACCACGGAAACCCTATAGTCGGATTCGACTGGCTTTCGAGCAAGGGAACCTTTACCTTTACCTATGGCACTGGGTACCAATTCTGTAAGTTGCCCTGAGCCTGCTCGCGGGGAGGGCAGGGTATAAATAGACTAAATAGACTAAATTGTCTAAATAATAGACTAAATAAATAGACTAAACAGACTAAATAGTTAACCAGTTTGGTGTAGTGGTTAAGTGCGTGGACTCTAATCTGGGAGAACTGGGTTTGATTCCCCAGTCCTCCACTTGCACCTGGCTGGATGACCTTGGGCAAGCCATAGTTCTGACAGGAGCTGTCCTTGAAAAAGAGCAGTTTCTGTCAGAGCTCTCTCAGCCCCACCAAGAGTTCCATTCCCCACTTAGTCATAAAGCACAGTATGTAACCTTGGGCCGAACACACACTCTCAGCCTAACCTACCTCACTGGGGAGTTGTGAGGTAAAGACAGAGAGGGAGGAAGTATTTCCTTTCATAAACAAATGAAATATTTACTTTAATTGTCTCAGTGAAGAAGTTCATGGCATCTCTCCTCTCCTCTTACAGAGTCCTCTTTATTTGACTGAGATACAGACTATTATGACTAATATATATTTATTAACTGTTGATGGCATATGGGTTTTGGAAGTATAAATAGTTTTATATTGAAATAACGTAAAATAGATTACTAAGTATGGACCTGGTCTGGGTTCAGCCCTGTTCCCACCAATATTCCCTCTAAGCTGTTGGTTGTTATGAGCAAAAATTCTACTTGGTGAGCTACTGGCATTAAAGTTGTGAGCGAGCGATTTGGCCCCTGCATAAATTACTTTGCTCTGAAGCCATCCTTCCTGAGCTAAGACAAAAATGTGTGAGATGGAGGCTAAAAACCTGTGTGCTTGCTCACACTAACTCAGCTTAGAGGGAATACTGGTTCCCACCCCCTGGAAACTGTGAGGTCTATGCCTCTGAACACGCCTATTGAAAAGCACCTTGTAAATTGAAGTATCACTGATATTATTAACTATAAAGAACTACACTTAGGGCATTACGTTAATTTTGAAAATGTTTGATCTGCAGAAATATATGAACAAACTTTTATGTAATCCGTTGTCTTTGCATATTAGGGAAAACATACAAAAGCCCTCATAGCATTAACCATTTAACAAATTTTTTAAATTTGATTTTTAAATGTGTATGTGTATATATTTTTTTCCAAGAGGAGAACACTCATTCATGTTATATGTTAAAGATCATGGTAACCAACACCTCAGTGGATCACGTAGGCAGGAGACTAAACCAGAGATAAGAATGTAGAACGCTGAGGTGGCAGAATGCTCTAGTCTGTATCTCATCAGACTTGGGGCAGAGGTGTGCTTATCATATGTTGGGCATGTCCCTTATGTTAAAGCTCCCTGCAAACAGAAGGCCAGCATTGTAAACGCGGGGTGGGGGTGGGGGGCAGCGTACTAGAGCAGTTTTGCAGGCTGTGCCACCGATTGCATCTGCATGAGTGAAAAAGCATTCAGAGCTGGAAGTCTAGCCAACTCATTGACACCTGAAACTGCCGAGGTGCCACACGCCGGGAGCCGACGGAGATTGGGAAACCGAATCCCAGCCGTCAGGTGCATTGCTGGCGTCCGGTAACTTGTCCTTCCGCAAAGACTGGCTGCACACCACCTCTTCGGAGCGCACAGGAGACTTCTCCGGGTCGCGGAGGGGGGGGGGGGGGCGACTGCGCCGGTCTCTCCCGCCCACTCGCATTGTGCGCTGGGGAAAGGCAAGGCGAGTTCGGGGGAAGGCTATGGGCGATCATAAAGTGAAAGGAGCCTCAGATCCGTGAGCAAAGGACAGGCTGCCGAGAAAGCTTGCCGGCGCCAATGTTCCCTCTAAGCTGTGGAGTCTTCTGAGCAAAACTTCCACTTTCCAAGCTACCGGCATCAAAGTTGTGAGCACTGTTCCCTCTAAGCTGAGTGAGTGTGAGCCAGCTCACCGTTTTTTAGCCTCCGGCTCACACATTTTTGTCTTGGCTCGGGAAGGAGGGCTCCAGAGCAAACTAATGTATGCAGCAGCCAAATCGCTCGCTCACAACTTTAATGCCAGTGGCTCACAAAGTAGCATGTTTGCTCACAAGACTCCACAGCTTAGAGGGAACATTGGTTGTGAGCCAGTGATTTGGCTGCTGCATAACTTAGTTTGCTCTGGAGCCCTCCTCCTTCCTGAGCGGAGACAGAAATGTGTGAGCCGGAGGCTAGACAACGGTGAGCTAGCTCACACTCACTCAGCTTAGAGGGAACACTGCCAGTTGCCGCATGGAACCCGCCGAAGAGCGTGTCTGTCTTCTTACCTGCATGGTGGGGGAAGAAACCAGCGCCGAGCCCTCTCCCCCTTGCCTTCTCGCGCGCCCTGGGCTAGGGACGGCTCTCTCTCCTGCGACCCTCGCCCCCTGGAGGAGCCCTTCGACAGCGTCTCCTCGGCGGGCGCCTCTGCATGCCTCCCCCTGGCCCCCAGGTCCGCGGACTCCTGGCAGAGAGACCGAAAGGCGAGCAGGACTTCCGCCTGTGGCGCTTGCGACTCTCCTCTCCCTGGAGCCGCCTGCGTCGCTCGCGTTGCCGAGGGCGCTGCCCTTCCCCGCCCCGCCGCCTTCCCAGTGTGGGACAAGTCTGGGCGGGTGAACCACAAAGCGGGCCACGCACGTGCTTAGGGCGCCAGGGCCAAAGGGGGCACCACAAAGTTGGGGGGAAGGGTGGAAAGAAAAAAGAACGAAGATTTGTTTAAAAAAAAAAGAAATTGATAAAACTAGTGCAAATTGATCCTGGTGTGCACCCAGTGCCGGATTTACAAATAAGCTACAGCTTAGGGCCTCGCAATCTGCTGGGGCCTCAAATAAAAACACAATTTAAAAAATATTTCAAATATTAAAAAGGCGTATATATTTTAAATGTTTTTGAGACCAGTAGGGGGCCTCTGGGTTTTGTATAGCTTAGGGCCTCAGCAAGTCTAAATCCGGCCCTGTGTGCACCCCAGGGTTATCTTCTGTTTTTTGTTGGCCAGGTGCAGTGTCAATGGCGATGTTTAAAAGTAAAATGGCGGAGCCAAATGCAGTGGCCAGGGCAGTCGTCTCAATTGACCCTCTCTGCCCCTTTTTAATTTCAGCCCCCTGTAAATGTCAAAAATGAAGCGTGTTCAGTTGAGTGGTGCGCAAAAGGAGGGGGGGCACCCAGATTGGTCAGAGCCTTAATCCGCCCCTGGCAAGGACAATTGTCAGGGATGCTGCCATGGGGGTTGGGATGCTCAGTCGGAGTCTGTGTAAATTGCTTTCATATTCCTGTCTATGCTTTGCCCCAAAATGCTTATCTATAACGATGTGTAGGTGGGAGTGTGTGTTGTCTGCCTTTCCAGGCAGCCGTGGGAGCAGGACCGTTCCCAGCTTCGCCTAGAAACAGTTTGCTGGCTTTAGCCCGCGCGCAGGAGGGTGCCTCATTGGCTAGCGCAGTTGGTGTGTGTGTGCATACGAATGCCCTGTATCTTATTACGTCCAAGGGACAACTGCCATTCTTAACAGTGACTATGCATCTATAGCTCTTCAATAAAAGTATAACCTTTCTTGAAAGTGTGTACTCCATTGTTGGCTGTGGGTTCTGACAACAATTAACGTAGCGCTTGTGTTGATTTTCCTAAGCGGCCAGCTGAGCCAAGGGGTGTTTAACATCTGGCATTCGCTGCCACAGGAGGTGGTGACGGCTACAAGCATGGACAGCTTCAAGAGGGAATTAGATAAGCATATGGAGCAGAAGTCCATCGGTGGCTATTAGGATAGGGATTCTCAGGCTGGGGCAAGTGATGCTCTGTATTCTTGGTCCTGGGTGGGGGGCAGTGGGAGGGCTTCTAATGTCCTGGCCCCACTGGTGGACCTCCTGATGACACCTGGTATTTTTGGCCACTGTGTGATACAGAGTGTTGCACTGGATGGGCCATTGGCCTGATCCAACATTGGCTTCTCTTATGTTCTTAAGGGGCTTTTCTTCTCGGGAGGGCCTTGGGGAGTAGGAGATGACTAGGAGAAATCCGAGAGCAACCATTCTTTGGGACTGCTGTTGCCGCCCGGCGCCGTTTGGAGCCATGGCAGCTGCGGTGGATAGCGGTGGCACTGCCTTTCATCTACATTGCCTCGTGAAGAGCCCCAGGGTGGACCAGCCTCAAAGGCCTGTTTGGTCTAGCCCCTTGAGAATGCCTGAGCAGGTGCCTCCAGAAAGCTGCTCCGGAAAAGGTGGGTTTTAAAACTGGGGCTTAAAGGATGGTGCCAAGCAAGTGTTGTGGGAATGAGTTCTGGCCACAAGGGGAGAAGGGAGAAGGTGCAGAATCTTTCAGTCTCTCTCTCTCTCTCTCTCTCTCTCTCTCTCACACACACACACACACACACACACACACACACACACACCAAGACACACCAAGTGATCATGTAGGGAAGTTTAAACAGGAGGGGAAGGGAGCCTACCATAGGTGGTTTTCAGACAGACAGCTGTTTCTGCAGCAGTGTGGCTGAAAGGCTATTTAAAAAAAAACAGCCATGGATGCCACAGCTCATATTGTCCTGTGAATGAGCTCTTTAGTGCATATGAAAATTTTCTCTAAGGAAAATCCTAAACAGAGCCTATCATGTAGCTTAGATTTTTTTAAATGGCCAAAGAGGTGGTGTTATAGGGATTAAAACAACTTTAAAGTGAATGTGTAAAGTGAATAGAAATATTCATCCCACAGCTCATAATATTAGAATCTCAGATCACCCAGTTAAATTTGACTATAAGACATCCCCCAGGATATTAGAACTCAAGGTCACCAAATTAAATGGATTTGTAGTGTGTTCTGAACTGTCCACATGTAGATGGTAAGCTCCTTGGGGCAGGGAACTCTTCCTTGTTTTAATTGCTGTAACTCTGTGAAGGGCATTCTGCATCAGTTGTGCGATTTAAATTATAATACTTCAGAAGGCACACAATTAATTTGTGGAATTCATTACCGCAAGCTATGATGAGGGCTACTACTTTAGACGATAACTCCTCATACAGCACATAATTAACTTGTGGCACTGGTTATATTACTACAAGGAATAGTGATGGCTGTAACCTTAGATAGCTGTCAAAGAGCAGGACTAGATATATTTATGGACAATAGGCTGTTTTATACATAGGACCTATATATTCTATGTAAATAGCAGAAGGGCATTGTTGATGATAGTCTGTTTTATATTAGATCTGGCTTAACATTGCCTGTGTAAATATGGGGTGTGTTGCAGGGCCTAGTCCATGACTCTCGAGCAGTCTGTTGTCGCTGGTGAATAGCCATTTTAGCCAGAAGAGTGTATGTAGGATGGAATGCAACTTCTGTTCTGGTTGACTGGGTAGCAAACTAAAAATATGTCTCATTTGATGTCTTTCCAATAGGGAATGTTTCTGTTCTTCATCCAAGAAATCCCCATATCAAATTGTATAAAGAGAGTTCAAATCATCTTGATTTTATAAGGAATATAATTACAAAAGAACCCTCTATGTATAGTTCAACACATCAAGTATAGAAAATGTCTAGGAATTTTTACTTGATTGAAAATGTCTTGAAACAGTTTATAAACAGAAATAGTGGTCTTGTGTAGTAGTTAGTGAATACTTACTTATATTTGTTAGTTTCTATGACCAAGGGTCTTAAGCTCAATTATAAAAGATGAATATAGTTAGTGAATAGGCAGAAAGTTGACAGGAATAGCTTTCTCAGTTTATTTACTTACTTGCTTGAGTTACTGTTCACTCAACCAACTTCTTGAACAGGAAACACAACTAAAATACTGATGGAGTTTAGGGATCCAGTGAACTATCATTACTATCAAATATTCTGTGACCTGCAAAGTCATTTATTGTTCTTTGTCACTTAGCAACAGTGAAACATTGGCCTCCGCAGAACAAAGTTCTTTGCAAAGGAAATATCAACTCATTTCTAACATCTAAAAACTAAAGGCATCCAAGAAGAAAATGATCAATTGTATCAATCTTCTCTAATCCAGAGGCACATAGTCTATCAGAGAACCTGTCATAATTGCTGAAAGAAAGGCATGCAGATGGGCCAGCATTAAAAGCCCTTCTATATCTTGGTACAGTCAAAGTTTGAAAATACTTTGGCATCTTCAACGGGGGGAGGGGGGGCATATTCCACTAGCAAGAGATGAACAAACCCTACAAGATCTTACAATAGTATGGCTATAATCTAGCTCTTTCAAATGCCTTTTAATTAAGCAATACAAGTCCCAACTCCCTCGTCTGTTTAACACATCAGCACAGCAGTAACTTTTAGACATATCAGCTTAACTCCCAGTAGCCTGTCCTAGTCAGATTTAAAATTGCCACTAAACTAAAAATTCCCGGCAGCCATTCAGACCTTAAGATCTTTAACTTAAAAACTCTTAACCAGGCCTGCATCTCCAAGGACTGTTCTGCTACTTCAGTGTGTAATACCATGCTGACAATGCATTTTGGAGCACCCTAAATAGAAGAAGTATAAAAATGGGCAATCTATATTATCCATTAAAAAGGTAAAGGTGCCCTTGCTAGAAAGCCAGTCGATTCCGACTCTAGGGTTGTGGTGCTCATCTCCGTTTCAAAGCCGAAGAGCCAGCGCCGTCTGCAGACGTTTCCGTGGTCATGTGGCCAGCATGACTAAACACCAAGGCGCACGGAATGCTGTTACCTTCCCACCGAAGTGGTACCGAAGTGGTACCTATTTATCTACTTGCAATCTCTTGCTTTCGAACTGCTAGGTTGGCAGGAGCTGGAACTAGAGACGGGAGCTCACTCCGTCATGCGGCAACTCAGGTCTTGAACTGCCGAACTACTGACCTTCCACAGCCTGCAGTTCAGCGTCTTAACCACTCGAGCCACCGCAGCTCCATATATTATCCATTACCACTGCATATAACAGCTGGTCAGATGCTTTTGCATTAAACATCCAAATCACTGTCGGGACATTGACCCCGAGTGGAATAAAAAAATCAAGAAAAGGCTGTGGCCAAGCTACCTGCAGCCTTCATAGCAGAATTCAGGTGAAATGTCCATGAAAAGGCTGGGCTGAACCCCCCCCCCCCCGAGATATCTAAATGGCTCAACCTGTTCAATGCTATGCCCAGCAAGCAAGCACTTATATTTCTTACAAGGTCACTTTTTACAAAATAATAATACTTTGGACCAGGGGTCAGTTCGTAGAAAAAGAGGTGCAGGAGCTCATTAGCATAACTCATTAGCATAACTTATTTGCATACGCCACACCCCCTGCCATCACCGGAAGTGTGTCAGAAGTCAACACCCACCGCTCAGGCTCCACTGGACTGTTTTGGATTCCTAGCTATTGGGGGGGAGGATGTGCAGATCTGCCCTTGCAGATCCCCCATGGCCCACCCCCCAATGAAAGGCGGGAGGCGGGGCTCCGGAGGCCTTCCCCGGGCTCTGTGCCTCAGTGCGGGGGGGGGGGCAGGCTCTGCAACTTACCTGGCTGCTTCTTACTCCTCATGGCCCGGGGCTGCTGG